CTGTGTATGTGAAGCATTTTCCTCTTCATAACCAGAGTATAACAGCAGTTCGCCTGAAGCTAGTTTCAGTTGTCCTACTTGTGTCCAATGCGTTTCACTGATGCCGAGCACCTCGAGGTTGTATCTTTTCATTTCTGCCGCAAATTGAAATAGTCTTCCAGTCTCCCACAATGTACGAACGTTCCATGCACCTAAAAGAATGGTTGCTCTGGTTGTCAGAAGAGGCATCAGCCCCATGACTTCCGAGGGAACTCGGCTTTCATCACGCGACGTTATAATTCTTCTTCCAACTCCCAGGGCAGAGTTAAAATGGTTTGAATTATTTTTTCTGGTTAGCGGTTTTTTGGCAAGTTAGTTTTTTGACGGGATGGGGTAGCCAACCCCATGCCCAACCCTCCTCCTTTATCCGGGCTTGGGACCGGCAGTAGCCCCGAAGGTTCTACTGGCGGAGTTCCCGGTCATAAAACGTCACAGATAATGTCTAGTTATACATTTAGGTCGAATAGGGAACAACATTGAAGTCTATGACATCGGTAACTAGGACGACCAAAAGGAATCGACCAATAGAATTAGACTTACAAATAATTCTCTTAGGATATTGGATGAATATCCTAACAGTTACATCATCATTAAGGGAGTTTTTGGAAATTTTACGAAATAGTTGAATATTGCTTAGAAGAAGAAAAAATTGGAAGCATTTTATATGTGTCGTTGTTCCTTTTGGATGCTAAACGATGAACTGATCATCACAAAATATTTTGCACTGTTAATTTGATGAAATTCGGTTTGTTGTTTGTTTTAAAGAAAATTATTTGACCAAATTTCACTCCATCCAATACACACACATACACAGTTGGTTGATCACTCGTTGGTTGAAATACAAATCGAGAAGCAGATATCTGATCAAGTTGATGAGTATTGTTGTTATAATGAGTGGTGTTTGAGATCTGAGCGTATGAGATACCCTTTAGAAAATGAATCGACTTCTTGACCACCTAATATACATTCATCTTTTAGGACATTTCTGATGATCATCATATGATCTTCTTGATCAGTCACCCCTGATTGTCTCTCTACATCAAGTATATTCTAGGTTGCTAGTGTAGAAATTCGTTAGAAGAAAACAAGTTTATCATCATTGAATTCTATTATGACTATTCATCGACTGGAGTGGTCGATGGAAGATTCTTGACTTCCATTGGTTGATGGATTATTTTAGTACGTTATTTCCGTGGCTCTCACCAACGGCGTTTCTATCATTGTATATAAGTAAGCTTGATTTGTGTGCTTGGCAGCCTCGTATTTTCTGCGTGCTTGTAGAATACATTCTCTCCTCCTTATCAAGCCTTCTTTCTTGATCTAGATAACAGGGCTTTGGACAAATGAATTAGAATAGCTTGTCATGTCACTGAGTCGTTGCTATTTGTTCCGTTTATCGAGTAAGATGAACTCGTAATAGTTTAGAGCAAGCATATCAATCTCTTTTTTCCTCTTTTTGTGATATGTGGTATGGCAAGTTGAAGCTATTTGCACATATGCCCCACGTCCTATGTTGCGTAATCATTATTTAAATAGTCTATGTAAACTGTCATAATCAGATAATGCCGATTATATTCAAGATGGAGTTTTTTCACCAATGAAGTTACTTTTGTTATTCTGTAATTCCTTACGTATGATACGAATAAAATCACTACACACATGAGACCGGCTGCGACTGCACGGGGAATTTTTTGGGAGAAATAGGAGATTAAAGCTGTTTTAGTGTATTAAGTGTATCAATTGAAATGAGTTGATTTATGATCAAAGGTTTACATTGTTCTGAAGTTGCAGGACATTACTGTTTTATTTGCTTGCGCCTGTTTCCCCCCCAGTGAAGCATAGGCCGCTGACCAGCATTCTCCAACCAACTCTGTCATGGGTCTTCTTTTCAAGTTCTATTCAGTCGCTGTTCATTCTTCTCATGTCTGTCTCCATTTCTCAGCGTAATGTGTTCTTTGGTCTTCCTCTTCTGCATTGGTCTTGAGGATTCCGAGTGGTGGCTTGTCTTGAAACACAGGTGGGTGCTATCGTCAACGTGTCTTCTATCCATCTCTGGTGCTTTATATTTTTTCTGTTGGGATCTGATTTCTTATCTATCTCCCACAGAAGATATTTCTGTATTATATTTTCAGTAAAATATTCCAATTCATTCGGTTACTAGGTTTGAACACTGATTGGTAAATTTATTTAAGGCTTTTGATTTCTAAGATCGCTCAACAATTTATCCCAGTTATCAAAATGCCTTGTCACAGTGTTCCAGTCAATGAAATTAACGCCACCGTAGCACCGCCTACAAATAGTCCACTATTTTGATACTGTAGTACGGTACTTCTTGTAGTGACATCCCATGTTGGCGAAATTAAACCTAGAGACACGTATAATTTAGGGAACAAATCAGTTAGTATGTGTGAATAACCCAATAGCTTCATATAATGACAAACGACAGTTTTACTTTAGCTCTAAGAGTTTCTGTATATCTCCGGCAGTTTCTCAACTGTTCACTAAACGCTTTGAGCTCAGTCCTTTGACCATTTCCTTTCGGATCAGATAAAACTAAGTACCAGTTATAGATATTGGCTACAAAACTGATCAACTCATTCGATTTCAAGAACCAATGGCACCAGTTCCACTAAGTAACGAAACTAACCTTCAAGATGTAAGTAACTCATAGCACAAATATGTTCCGTTATACTATTCCACTATGCTTCAGTGTGTAGTATTCCGACTGTAGCTGCTAATTTGACATGGTGATGTACCATAACTCGTGATTGAGTAATACTGGTAGGAGTACGTTTCTTGAGGTGCTACCACAATGCTACGTTGGTCAGCTGGAGAAAGATAAAGATAAGAGTAAAAGTCAAACTGTATAGGAGTATGGTGAAAGCAAGGTGTTCCTCGGGAGGTAACAATCAGCTGCATACTATTTACAGCATTTAGTATCATCCTAATCTCGAGGTGAGCATCTAAAGTGGACTAAAATCAGACTGTATGCTTGTTATGTTCGTCAGTAGGTACACTTGAAGTTATTACGAGTTCATCTTAGTTGATAAACGCGAACGAGACAATTACCAGCGTCCAAGTAGGCTACCTTGAATCCCAAACTGCAAAACAGAAGACTTGGTAAACGTAAAAAGTATATTCTACAACACCCAGCAATCACAATACAATCAAGCATACAACTCTTGTTTATTTATACACCATAGAAACGTCATTGGGACAGTTACTAAAATAGCACACTAAAATACACAGCAGCCAATCACAGCCATGGATTTTGCTGGTGGGAAATGAAATCCGAAGATCAACTGATCAGCCTATGCTCCCAAACATGAAATCCAAAATAAGGCATTTATCAAGCGAATTCTGGGGATATAAAATCCCCAACAATGCTATTAGGAAAGGCGAAATCCCACAACAATACTTCTCATCAATATCGGTTCTACTTCGCATAACAATTGTTTTCTGTGTTTTTGTTATTGATACTTCGTAAACATACTTGCATTCGCTTCTGTTTTAAATGCAATTGATACTTTCAACAAGTACGTATGAAAATCAACAAGTTAAGAGTCTTGTGTCTTTTCAGAATCTTTATTTGTATATTTGACCACTTCGAGGGTACACAATCCTTCAATCAGTTTGTTTATGAAATAAAAATAACACAATTTATAGTGCCGTGTTATTAGCCTTCCGAAGGACACTGTCACTGCAAGCCAAACATACATTTAAGATAGAGATCTCAGTATTCGCATGTATTCATAGTTCTAAGCAAGATACACTCATAGAACAATGCATGACCAATCGCAGAGTTATCTATTATTTAAAAACATTTGTATAAAGGAGGACCCAGATATATGGTGGCCAATTTACTGAGTGTTCTTAATTTTTCGTGATTAACTCGTCTAGAAAATCGTTATAAAGTAGCGTCTGACGGTGAACTCGTAGTAATGAATACGTCTATTTGGGACACACTACAAAGCGAAAAGGAGAAGCAGTGATTAAGACGAATGTAGCGACGTGAATTGGAGAAGGCTGTTGAGCCAACTCCCAGGATTACAATGCGAACGAAGGAAGCGGATGAACAGGCGAATCGCGTTGGAGAAGGCTAATAAGCCAACTCCAAAGAAATAGAGCATGACTAAGAATATATAGTCAGACAAATATAAGACACATGTGACAAGCGAAAAAGGCACGCATGACTAAAAGCGACGAATAGCTGACAAGGTCATGTGAGATCATACAAACCAGACAATAATAAGAATGAATGGTACATACAGATTGTTGCTCCCAATACAAATGGCTTGATTAAATAAAAATTAATCAAAAGGGCTTAACCAAATTAGATGTAAGCGAACTGGAAAATATATGGAGGCACTACATATAAATATGAACCGGATGAATCATTATATTTGTGTGTAAGCTGGGATATTGTCCGAATTCCGAAATCTATGCAGTCGCTTTTCTTAGATACCTAATTCTCGAGCATTTGACCTAGAAGTCCAGTACATAAGACACTGGAATGACGTGAGAAGATGCAGTTCAACGATAACTAGTCAGCGATGTTAGTTCACACGCCGTTCGTTCTATCAGGAACTTGGGACTGATATGTACCGTTCGTTTGGAATTAAGATTTCCTAACTCCATTAGAGGTAGATACTCCATACTCACCAACCCAGTTTAAACCGTGATCAAATACTCACCTTTTATCCTCTCAATTTCCTAAACAACATGTTCGTCACGAGAAGGCGGGGAATAGGATTTCGTCAAATGAGAGAGGTAAGGTTGACTCTTCTCATTCTCGATCCTACCATAGCATTTAAGTGTTCACAACAGACCATTTTACAGTTGATAAACAAATCGTATTTTAGAAGTTATCATTCATAAATCGAGAAGATCTACTAGGACTTATGATTAAGTACATACTAACAATCTTAAATTAAAACTGACCATAATGTAATATCAAAAATTATTTAATTTAAGATGGTCAAACGAGTTTGTAACTCAGGTGGATGATGATTACGATGGAGTTTCGTTCTCTCTGAACTGGATATTTCGGTTGTGAAGCTTTCATTGTTCTTCTGCTGAACAACAACATCATCATCAGCACAAATATCAGATAGAAGTGAAGTGATTGCATTTGTCCACAGATGACTCGTAGTTCTGTCATGTGGACACCAATCTTCTTTGGTTGTTACTGACCTTTAACCTGCTGTTATCTGCCACTTTATTTTATATCGATACACGTGGACAACTGTGTACATACATCCGACCGCAAAAAATGGAATATCGAGAACACCTGAGAATTTTAAGGAGTTTAGCAGTCAGATCATTAATCAATAAACACATCGAAATCAATACCACTTATCAACCAATCAGAATCATCATTGAATAAATACAAGATCAAGAATCAAATCAAAAAAGCAACCAATCAAAATAACGAGAGCGAGAGAGTGACAGGTTAAACGTTAATAATAGCCAATGGAACTCAAGGTCGACAGGACAAGCTACAATTCGAATACTTCACTTCTTCTACCTGAAGTTAGCGCTACTGCTGATGCATGTTGTTGTTCAGCAGAAGAACATGTGGAGCTGCACAACCTAAACATTCCCAGCTCAGTCAGAGAGAACACAACTCTATCATAATATCAATAATATAATTAGACTTTTTTTTAAATTGAATTCAATAAAATAAAATGACAAGTAGAATTGAAAGTTAATTAATGGTCGCCATTTTTGTTCTGCTTTTTGGTTTCAATCCAAAAGAAATAATTCAATTTGTTTAAATGAAAAGCGAATAAAATTGATAAACGCATTCGATTTGATGATCATGATGATGACGATGATGATGATCAATATTATTGACCCTGTTTTTCACCGAGTAGTGCAGACAGTGTACGACGATAATCACCTGATGTGTCGTCTTTCACTGCATCCAGCAATGATTTACCATAAATCACTTCATATCTATCCATTATATCTTGAAGATCAATCTTGTAAGAGAGAGAGAGAGAGAAAGAGATAAACAGAAGAAATTTACGTGAGGTGGGTTGCGGAGATTGTTGAGTTACGTTTTAAAAATCATGAATCGATCAATGTTAGAACACCGTTAGAAACCTAGAAGCACTGGATGACCGCCTCATCCTAGTGTGGGACTCATCAGCAATGCGCATCCACGACTCCTGCAACTTGCATGATTCGAAACCGGGGCCTTCAGTCTTGCGCGCGATCACCTAACCACTGAACCGTTGAGCTGGTATCCAACGGTATTAATATATGACTGCGATCAATCCACGGCCTTATGCAACCCCATTCACTGTCTTCGGTGAGCACTGCTTCGCACTCGAACAGGGTTCGAATCCTGCGAGTTGCAGGAGTCGTGTATGCACACTGCTGACGAGGCCCACAAGAGGAAGAAACGGTCGTCCAGTGTTTTAAGGTTTCTAATGGTGGTCTAACAATGATCGATCCATGACTTCAAAATCAAACAGAGAAAAGATCAATTTACTTTAAATGATATTGAAATCATGAATTGATCAGTGTTAAACTATTATCAGAAACCTGAAAGCACAGAACAGCCTTTTCATCATCAGTAGTGCACGAACATGAACCCCACATGCGGCAGTCGAACTCAGTCTCGCGCGTGAACGCTTCCAAATCCTAATCTTCTGGATACATCATCACCTCTACCTTTGTCCTCCTAAACTTATCTCACTGAATTATACCTCTTGAATCATATCTTCGAACCCTAATCTCCATTAACAATAGTACTCCTACTATCTCTAACACCATGGGATTTGACTTGACAATTGTGTCTCTGTATCGATGTGGTATGGCAACATGAACTGATGTACTTACGTACGAAGTTCTACGTTGCGTCAGACTGACTGACTGCATGAACGCTTAACCTCTAGATTGAATGTATGTATACTTGACTTTGATGCATACTTTGTGGGTATCAGTACAAGAGAATTATTATTAGTGCTGTCAGTTATTTAAGCGAAAATCAATGAAGAAGGAGAGGTTAGATGACTCGTCAGCTGTGTATATCTGAATTTCAGTGTTAATGTTCACAGTAAGACTCGAACTCAGTATCTTCTGCTTTAAACGCTAATATGGTGTCTGCCGAATAGAAATTGCCTCTACGTGGTTCGACAGTAAGCCTAATCATGTCATGTTTAGTAACGGTTTGAATTGTCTCAGTAGCATTGGTGTTTAAGTCTCACTTTAAACATTATTAGGATCGCAGTAAGTTCGGCTAACTAATTCCGGATTGAACGAAACACTCATTCTGAATGCTACTCTAGTCAAAATCCATTTCTATGCTACAAAAGTTGTGATTACATTGAGAAGACTGAGGAAGGCTCGATAGATTGTATTTGGCAAATTTACACTCTTAGTCAATTAAAAACGACAACATTACATTGAATAAACTCTATTTGCACACCATCTTTGAGTCGTGACTTCCAACGCTCCAACCTTCTTCCATTCCTGTTGTTGCTTCCTTTACTTCCTGTTGGTACTGCATTTACTTCTTGCTTTCCGTTTTCCTCTTCTGACCGTAAGACATCTTCTTTCACATCCATTCTTATACTACTTATGTCGTTCGTATAAGTAGCACACACCACAACATGACTATATGAAGACAATCAACATTGAATGTACACAGCCTAACAGAGAGTCGAAGAAAAAATATCAATAACGGAAAAAAATCCAAACTTATACTGACTACAATCTGAAGAATAGAATACTACAATATAAATTCTATCTCAGATAGCTGTTTCGTCGTTGTTAAGGATTTATTTTAGTGGCCAACACTGTAACCCCAATCTAGACGACACAATGTTTTGTAGTGTAGGAGTAGGTTGGAAGAAATCTAGTTGGCGGCCAAACCAAAACATGACAGAAATTTCATGAAGTCACTAGTAACTGGACTCTTCATGTTCGTCATAATCTCTATCCTTCTCTTTCTAAAGTTAACTCACTGAATTATACTTCTTGAATAATATCTTCGAAACTTAATCTTCTGCATAACTACTAATACTTCTATTACATCTACTACTAAAAGATTTGAATTGACAATACGATCTTTGCGTGCTGTACGTACATGCGAAGCTGTACGTTGTACTTGACTGAAGTATTGACTGGAGTTCTGTGCGACAGAAACTAATAGGGAATGTAAGTTTTGAGGCGAAGCGACCTTACTCAATACTCACTGATTTTCTAAATAGTTCTCAAATTCTGTTAGGCCTGCACGAAAACACGTCAACTTGATATACTTGAACTATTACGAGTTTACCTAGTCGGAAAACGAGAGCGAGGATCCGGTGACACGACATGCTACTCATATCCGATTATCCCAACCCCCATATTTAGTAAAATGAGAAGACGTGATATGAAGCAGAACCTGTATCCTACAAGCATCTAGAAGGTACGATGTCCGAGTCCAGAAGGCAATCAAGCTCTCGGAATAGGGATCCGGGACCGGGTCCTGGTCCTGGTCGTGGTCATAAAACGTTACAGATAATGCGTATTTATACATTTTGGTCGAATGAGAAACATCATCGCAGTCTGTGGCATTGACAGTAAAGACGACCAATAGGAACATTTGAATTGACATTGATAGTCAGGACAACCAATAAGAAACAACATTCGAGCACGTGGCATTAATATCTAGGACGACTATAAAACTGACCAGTAGGAATTAACCAATAGGAATTGACCAATAATTCTCTTAGGCTATTGAATGATCATCCTAACAAATTCCCAATCGAGAATATTTCTAGTACTTTTGAAATTCATTCAATCAACGATTTCTGATGTTTTTCTTGAATAGTTTCTATACATATCTATGTGTGTATATGTTTCTGTATGGTTTTCGATGATTATTTCATGAGAAATTTGAACTTTGTTCAGTCTGCACAGAAATTCATTTTACACACACACACAAAATGAAATGCATATCAATGAAAGCGCCTATCTCCTAAGAGTAATTTACCCACATTCTATATACTATCTCATCTTCTATTCTACGTGATTGATTTTTACAAATTGAGACATGTAGTGCCTCTGTGGTGCGCGCTACTTATAAGTAGTATATGACGCGAGTGAAAACGTAATGTCTGGAAGCAGAAGATGGGGGAAGATCAAGAAAGGAAGAGTGGGAACACAATGGAATTTGTATGAAACGCATGAACAGAGTGAAATGTCAGACAATGGATTGATGATGGATTGAAGATTTGCAAATTAAAAACGGTTTATGATATGATTTTCCTATTTTACCGAGTAACTCTGTAATTTGCGATAAATACAATCCGGTAGCCCCACCTGTGTTCTCCTTCACTACACCTCCACATATATTCCAGTTCGATTACATTTAGTGCGGTTAAGCCCTTTCGATTAATTTTTATTTAACCAAGCCATTTGTATTGCGAGCAACAATCTGTATGTACCATTCGTTCTTATTATTATTGTCTGGTTTGTATGATGTGCTCACATGACGTGTCCCATTTGTCATTTGACCTTGTCAACTATTCGTCACTTTTATTCATGTGTGTCTATTTCGCTTGTTGCATGTCTGTCTTATATTTATCTGACTATATATTCTTAGTCATGCTCTCTGTCTCTTTGAGTTGACTCATTAGCCTTCTCCAACGCGCTTCGCCTGTTCATCCGCTTCCTTCGCTCATTCTTTCGCTTCTTTTCAGTTGCGCTATATGGTGTGTCCAAAATATAAACATATTTCATCATACTTCGAATTCGCCTTCTGATTTATAAACCGTCAGGCGCTATCCGAACACTCAGTCAGATAAATATGGACCCCACAGACATATATAAAAACTTACTTCAGAACGTGTAATCAATAAACGCATTAATGCATAGTCTTTCGTGCCTAAACCGGCCATTGAATCATGTAACCATTCAGCCATTAAACTTGGACGATCAATTGCATAACGTACTAATTGACAATTGAATAAACAAAACAAAAAAAAGAATGCGGTTAATTTAAAATAGACTTGTAAATCAAGTCAAATAAATTCAAATTTAAGATATATCTATCAGTGAGTGAAGGTTTACACTCTACATTTTGATATTGATTGAAGGAAGCGAAGTTGTAAAGCTGTAATGATTAGTTTATTCGTTAAAATTATTTACTAGCTGAGAATGAAATTAGCAAATAAGCCCTGGAAGTGGATAGGACACACAGTGAGGAATTCATTCAACTATGTCACGCGACAGGTCCTCACTTGTAATCCTCAAGGCCAAAAGAGAAAAAGAAGACCGGGGAAGACTTTTACGCCGAGTGTACAGTGATTGTGTTGGGGATGTTAGATCCCCAGAACTTGCTTGATAAATGCCTTATCTTGGATTTCAAGTTTGTGAGCATGGGCTGATTAGTTGACCTTGAGATTTCATTCCCCACCAGCAAAATCCATGGCTGTGATTGGCTGCTGCTATTTTCGTGACTGTCGCAAGGACGTTTCTATGATGTATAAATAAACAAGAGTTGCGTGCTTGATTGTGTATTGTGTGATTGCTGGGTGTTTGTAGAACATACTTTCTACGCTTACCAAGACTTCTGTTTTACAGCTTGGGATTAAAGGTAGCCTACTTGAACGCTGGTAGCTGTCTCGTTCGCGCTTATCGACTAAGGTGAACTCGTAAATAGCTTCGAGCATACCTAGTGACGAACATAACAGATTGACTTGAAATGGAAAGGAAGGCCCAGGAAAAAGTAAGTTGGAGAATGCTGGTTAGCGACCTCTATGAGGAGTAACAGGAGTAAGCAAGTAAGTCAGTGTTAACTAAGAGGTTTAACAGTCAAATAAACTGGTAGAGTATACGACTGTCTATTCAGATTTGCAACGATTTTAAAATAAGATTTGTATGACAACTATCCAAAGCTTTCAGATTACTTTTTTACTGTACTCCATAATAAATATTATGTTCAGTTTAATTTTTCCAGTAAAAGTAAAACTTTCAAGTCCAAACAACTAATTCGTCAATATATTTGAAATAAAGTATGTCACCATCCAACTTCCTTGTTAATTTTTTACTAAGATAGATATTGAAAACTTGAAACTACTGAACAACTGTTTCGTTGTAGTATAGAACTGTTTAGCAGTGTGGATTAAGTATCCTAGCGCGAGCGATTAAACCAAAGACCTTTAATCTAGTGAGCGTTTGTGTCCAGTAGAGTTTAACCATGTCAGGTGGGATGTTAGATTCCTAGAACTCACTTGATAAATATCTTGATTTTGGATTCATTTCATGAACCGATCAGTTGACCCTGAGATCACATTTCCCACCAGTGTGCTATTTTTGTGACTGTCCCAAGGACATCTCTATAGAGTACAAATAAATGCAATTTGAGTGCTTGGATTCATTTTGTGCTGGCTGGGTGTTTGTCGAATAGAATTTCTACACTATATCAAGACTTCTTGCTGATACCTTTTTGGTCAAGGGATCCACAGTAGCCTGCCTGGACGCTGGTTCATTGTTTTGTTCTCGTTATTCGACTAAGTTGAACTCGTGATAGTTTTAAGCATACCTAGAGACAAACGTAACAAAGGTACCAACCGAAGACAATAGAAGATGATCGTAAACTTTTTTACATCATTAGATTCCGGCTTAGTGATCATCCAGAGTTGGCACACGAGAATGAAGATCCTGAATTCAGTGTCCAGTGAAAGAATCATATGTGCACATTGTTCATGAGTACCATACTAAGAAAATGCATCAGTCTAGTAAGTGCTTAGAAATTTTCAATAGTTGTCCATCTTAGACTGGTACGTGATCTCAATAACTTTTAGCAAACCTCAATGTTGATAATGACAAATATTTTTTTATTCAAACAATAAATGACAGTTAATTTTTTATCTTGATACTTACAGACAGCGACGAGAAGTTTACGATAATCACCTGATGTCTCTGATTCAATATGCTCCAGTAAAGTTTTACCATACATCTAAATAGAAAGAAAAAAATAGGGAGAAAGCTGAATTCAGTTCAAACTAATCATCGCTAATCTTTCAACTAACTGGCTCAAGTATAAATTTTTGATATGGGCTGTGTGAATGGATACTACTACCCTTAACTCAGGTCTTGGATAGTCGAAGAAATGAAACCTTCGCTATTACGATAACAAAAAACACGTGTCCTGACATGAGACAAAGGTTAATAGGTGTGTTTTAGCCCAATTTAATCAAGCTAGGCTGGACCTCTTACTACTGTATGCCATAAAATGTACATACCATGAGATATTTTGCTATATAGCATTGACGGTTTCCTGTGGGATCAAAAAGGTTCACTGTGAATATTGTGGATGGCTTGGCATTGCTTTGGCAGTAATCGCTAACAGTCCATGTACAAGTTTGGTTTGCAAGATGACCGATTTCATTGATACTAGTGGTTGTTTTGTAACATTCCCGAGGGCCATTGTTATTGGTACGCTGCGATGCAATATAACCATGGCTAATAATTATGAGTTTGACAGCAATGTAAGCGGGATGGGTCGAAATGGCCTGTTCATGGGGTGCATATCATGGATAACGTCAGTGATGTGAATGGTCCACCAGGCTATTAGGTGTGTAATTGCACCATAGAATTGAACTGTACTGTTCACGTTGTAGTGTCTGGTTCTCCTGAAAATCACTGCAAAACTGCTCTTGCTCATTGACTTACGCCTGCTACTCCGAAAGTAGCATAAACCGCTGGAGCCTCTCTGAGGCTACTGTCGGTCCCAAGCCCGGATAAAAGAGGAAGGGTGGGGATGAAGACTAATACGCCAAAAGAACACTTGCTCATGGAGGGTGAATTTTTATATACCTCTTAGGAATGATATACCAGGATGAAATAGCTATAAAATGCATTCTATTTTTCAGAGATTTCCTAAATGACATCATTATATGATGTAAAACTCTCTTTATAGTAAAAATTATTTTTCAGTAGTCGGTAAATCATTCATCGTGTAACTATGAAGTTAACTAGAGAGTTCAACTTATTATTACGTAATGAATACATGCTTAGTTAATGTCAACATAATTCTATTATCAGTCAGTCAGTCAGTCAGATGCAACGTAGAACTTCGTACGTAAGTACATCAGTTCACGTCGCCATACCACATCAGCACAGAGATGTAATTGTCAATTCAAATCCAATAGAGTAGTAGAGGTAGTAAAGGTATTAGAAGTAATCGGAGAGGTTAGGATTAGAAGATATTATTCAAGACGTATGATTCAGTGAGAAAAGTTTAAAAAGTCAAAACTAGAGGGGTTGAAGAATCCAGAAGATTAGGATTTGACAGAACACAAAGAATAAATGCACCGGTGCCATTGCGAACGATTTTGAGCCATGTCATTCAATTCTATTATCACGAGAAGCTTTAGAATATTTCCCACTTCATTGAAATGAAACTGGTCTGAGTGATCATTACTAATACTAACACTGGATTAGATAAGCGATTCATATCCAAAACAGTGAACGAGAGTATTGATTTCCTTCACTCAAATAAGTTCAGAGTACAGACCAATCAGAAGAAAGGAAATCACATATTTAATAGTCAATAATAAGTTCATTGCATGTTTATACACGCTCAATGACCAATCACAATTTGATTTCACTAAAGACAGACACATCAATATAACACTGAGAGAACCAATGATTCATAGTTTTCTGAACTGGTCAGTAGATCATCATAACATCGAATTAACATTAGAAACCTGGAAGCACTGAACTGCTATTTCGTCATTGTATGGGACTTATCAGTAATGCATATCCAAGACTTCGGAAGCTGGGATAAGAACTATGATCTTTGGTTTGGCTCTCGGAATCTTAAGCTTTAGAGCATTGAGTCGGTCAACAACTTTGTTGATATCTGACTTTAATTGATTCAAGACAATGAAGAACTTCACCCATTGTCTCCTGTGTGTAACTGCTGACGCCCAACTGGGTTGAACTCCACTGGTCATGTTTGAAAGTAAAATAATGTAAGAATGATCAATATCATGTGGGCGTTGTGAATGCGCACTGTCGGTGAAGAGTCCCATACTGAGACGAAATGGCCATATACAATGATTCTAGGTTTCTAATGGCAGTCTAACAATGATCGATTTACGCTTTCAATGAAACTGAACATTTTACATATTCCTTTATTGAAAATCGCATACACGTGTGTTAACATCATTTTCTTTCGAGAGTTTATTGTAACGGTGAACGTTTACAGCCTCTTCCAAATACGTATACGATTGAGCAGATAAAGACAATGTTTGACTTTAAAAACCACGTAGACTGTAGGAGTTTCATCCTAGCTGGATGAAAAACAAAACTTCTTGAAAATTATCTACCTGACCTATAAAACCATCTTGAGATTCTTATACCTTGATGAATATTTTTAATTTTCATCCCAAACCATTTGTTTAAATCAGTTCCTATGATTCAAGGTTTTCAATGATATTTCAACCATTGGTCATAATGTGGATGTTGGGAATGTTATATGTCCAGAACTCATCCGATAAAGGTCCTAATTTTGGATTTTATGTTTTCACACATGGACTGATCAGTTGACCTTGAGATTACATTTCCCACCGGAAGTTCCTTGACTGTTATTGGTTGATGTATTTTTTTAGTACTCTATTTTCGCAATTCTCTCAAGGATGCTTCTATCATGTGTAAATAAACTCGATTTGTGTACTTGTGGACCTCATATTTTCTGAGTGCTGGTAGAATACACTTTTTACGTCTTGTCAAGACTTCTTAGTCTACTTAGTAGGACCTTGTGACGCTCGGATTAGAGTAGCCTATCGTGTCACTGGATTATTTGTCATCGCTCTCGTCTATCGACTAAGGTGAGCCCATAATAGCAGCATTCAAGCATATCAATTGACGAGCATAAGAGTAAACATTTTTCTTAACATTATTTCCTCAATTTTTTTTAAAAATTACAGTGTAAGAAAATATAATTTTGTCATCAAACTATCGAAGTTTGAATACTCTAATGATGAACAATAAAAAGTATCTACATCAAATCTATTGAATTACTTTAATTGAACACATTGAATGTAAATTTATCGAACAAAACAGAAACTTACTTTCAAATAAATTTCTGATGTTAAATATAATTGATATGGTGTTCTATTGCATATAATACGTGTAATACGTTTTTCACTGGTACCAGTACGACTTCAATAATAAAAAAACACGAACAGACAAGAAGTTGCTTTTTTTCAAGTATAAAGTTATGAAGATTGTTGTTTTTTAATGATTAGCTCATGAATTCAATGATCAATAACAATCTCTTTAAGTCTATGATGAAAACATTGTGAAATGTGCTCACTAGTGACTAGCTTCATGAAGATATTCTTGGAGTTCTATAAGGGAAGCTGTGATCAATGGAGTTCAGCCCTGTCGGGTGCAAACAGTTATCTGTCAAAGACAGAGGGTGAGGTTACGCAGTATCAAGGGTTGAATAAAGTTAGACAATAACGCTATTGGATGCTGGCTCAGGAGTCTACAGGATAAGCGTTCGTGCACAAGACTGAAGGTCCTCGGTTCTATACCTAAGGGTAGTGGGAGTTGTGGATTTGCACTGTTGATGAGTCCCACATAAGGAAGAAACGGTCATTCAATGCTTCCGGGTTTTGAATGTTGGTTTAGCTATGATCGATTCGGTATTTTAATAAAACTGAACAGTCGCAACAACCCTATTGTTATAAATCTCTCCTAGTTAATCCAGCTATTTCTATTGCTTAGTATTCTCTGACACCAATCCACTCGACAAGACCCCAAAAATCAGAACACGGTTGCAACAGGGGAAAGATTATATTCCAAATAGCAAGGTTAAATGAAAGTAATGAGCTGAAGCGAAGGTGAATTAGGAACAACTTTAGTATCATTATAGTTTTTACATGATAAGCTTCTGGGATGTGCTCCGCGAATTGACTAGCGCTGAGCGAATTAGATTTAGCCAATCAACATGCAGCTAACAACACGGGAATTTTCTAGAATGCCCTCCGGGTATCGATCAGGCGCTGATTGGATAAGGATTTCATTCTCAAGCTCTAACATTCACCTTATTTGCTTTGTGCGCCAGGCAACTTGGAATGCGCTACAGTCCCGAGCTCGCAGACTACCTGTAGACAGAGTTATGATATATGATGTTCAAGATCTAAACGTGATACTTGCTAACTCTCCAAAATTGACTAATTTAGTATGAAGCTAAGAGAATCTTTTTGGCTACCGAATAAAATTTACAAATGCTCTAGTCTATAAATTTCACTCCCTCAGAAAATCAATCTACTTCCTGGTCAATGATATGCATTCATCATTTAGAACATTTCAGAAGGTCATCAAATAACCTTTTCGGGCCACTTCTGATTGGTTCACTATATCAGGTAGCTTTAATGAATTTAAATCTAACAATCACTTACCCCGCTCCTGAAGCATATAATTCTTTCGCATCAGCTTCGGCTAATTCATGATTGACAACTGAATTAACACCTTTATCAGGTATTGCTTTCAATTGTAAAACTGGTATATCATCACGTTCAGCTTGTACTAAACTAAGTAATGCATATTCATAATCTCCACCTGTTTCTTTTTTCATATCTGTTACTAAAGAACGTTCTGAGTCTTTTTTTAGAATTTTTTTTAATGGAAATTGTAAACAAAACATAAAAAGGGATCATTGTTTAATTGAAGTAATATATTCACAAAAAGGATATTGAATAAATGGCGGTTATTTTTGAATTGCCTATTATGTGTGTGCCAATCAAGAAAGAAGAATGTGATTGGCTATTGAGTGTGGACAGACATACACTACTCGAGTTAATTTGTGTTTTCTTTATCAATATTGATTTGTAGTCTGGACCTATAGAATGTAGATGTAGTTTGTGTATAGAGTATCGATATCAGTCTAGTTACGATATAACTTCGGTCATTGGTTGCATCATCGTGGCAAACAAAAAAATATTTTTATTCTTCCATTATATCAGTCTCGATCAATCATTAAACAGCAACATAGAACATCGTACGTCATACATTAGTTCAAGCTGCTATACCACATTAGCACACAGATGCAGAACTCCAAAGGTTAGGGTTTGAGAGAACACAAAGAATAAATGCACCTGTGCCATTGCAAACTATTTTGAGCCATATCGTTCAAGGACTCTAACCATCGGTGACTTCCGTCTTGCGGACCCCAACCAGGTAGCCTACATCGACAGTTATGCCTTAGTTCAGTTGTCAATAACTTCATGGATTTCTGCTATGTTTTGGTCTGGACGCTCCTAACTTTCTTACAACCTACTCGTACACTACAAAACAAAGCTCGTCGAGGGAGTCGGTGGTTAGGCATTCGCAGTACATGTTCCAATCACCTCAACTGATGAAGTTTCAATACTTCATCTGTTGATTTGCCATCCTTACCTAGAACTCATTTTCTAACGACAGCCTTGATTACTCGATTGTCCCATGATACTTGAGCAATACTTCGGAGACACCTGTGATCGAAAACCAGTAATCTACGAATATCTTTTACTCTTACTGGCCATGTTTCACAGCCATAAAGTAGGACAGAGCGAACTGCTGCGCAGTACACTTGTCCTTAGGTCAGTAAACGGATATCTCTCCTACAACATAAGTGACGCAGGTTGACAAAAGCCGAGCCTTCTGTATTTGTGCTGAGATTTCATCGGTCACCAGGCCATCAGCAGTGATTAGACTCCCAAGATCAGTGAAGCGGTCGACACGCTCGAGTTTATTATATCAGTCTAACATGGGAGTGTGGAATCTGAGGTGTATTCTACCGATAAGTAGACTATTTAAATGCGGTGCAGGTGATGTCAAGTCATTCAGATCAGTGATCACAATTTAACATGACCGATAGGATAGGATCAACGCTTAAGACTATATTACAGATGATATTAATCAGTTAGTCAGTCAGTCAGTGGAGTTAAATGAATGATCCTACTCAGATCCTGTATGCACGCTTCGGAGATACAGCATACATTGACAGGACGAGATTCTAAAGTCCTAAGCCAAGGAAGCTTGTTGTTCTACTTAGCATTAGGTTCCAACATTTAAAAGCTCCAACATATATAGTTTAGAACGTGGTTGCAGGAGACTAGGAAAATTATGTTGCGTGAACTCGATACATTTGCATCAGAGGTGCGAGGTCGTAAAGGAATGAATGAACGATTGGTCGTGGAGTTAAAAGATTAATTGGGAGGTGTAGGAAGGATCTGATTGCTACTTATTCGGCCTCATGTGCTGTTACTGATGGATTTTACTTTCCAGTTGCCCACACCGTGAAAGCATGATATTAGTCACTGATTATTGAGTGACTGAACAGTGTGGGATACTTTTGTTAAATGTCAAATTTGTTGTTTGTATTGAGACTCAAATGAAATCGAATCGCAACCTAATACATATCGTTCCATATCGATAAAATCAATACTGGTTTGTTAAAAGACAGTGTTATTTTCAAGGAAATAAAAAACCTTGGAATAGATAACTAGTGTAAGGATAATAGTAACTCACCTTCACATCCTTTGTCTTTGAGTACTAAAAACAAAAGAGATAAAAAGAAGTTTGTAGTTTGTACGGAACTACACATATACCAGTAAAGTTTAACACAGAGCACAATGTTTTACAAATCGACTGAACTAAGAAACATGAGTTAGAAGCAGATTTGAATTTGGTTTTGAATATGTATCAGTTCAATTTATCAATCAGAACAGAACAAGAATAAAACTGACAGAATAAGAAGCGAGGTATCCAACCAACCGAAAAGAATCAGACATACAAAGTAGATTCCAAGAAAGAAAGTCGATGAATGCAACATATAGATGTGACGGATTTCCTTTCAGTTTATTGCTCTGTCCACAATAACAAAACACTGAACAAGTGTATGGATGTGTTTTCCTTCTTCAAAGCTGATAGTCCACATATCTCAATATTGAGCTTTGTCGGGATTGGGAAACATCATCCTTTACTGTCCATAAATATGAAAAATGTTTGAGTATTAATAAGTAGTGTAGTGTAAAACACAGAATGAAATAAGAAAGGAAGTGTTGGGGACGTTAGATGCTCAGAGTTCACTTGATAAGTGTTAGGATATTAGTCAGATATCTTAAAGAAATTATTTTGTAAATCTAATTCTATTGGTCAATTCCTATTGGTCAATATTTAAGGTCGTCCTAAACTATCAAGTCCACATACTTTTAAATATTGTTTCCTATTGGTTAGTATTCACATTCGACCTAAATGTATAAATATGCATCGTCTATAAAGATTTACGCTCCTCTTCTTCTTCTGTACAAAACCTCACATTTTCTGAGTGTTTGTAGAATACGATTCTTACACCTTATCAAAACTTCTTGCTATATTAAACAGACCCGGGGACAATCGGATGAGTTTAGCCTATCGTGTCACTGGATCATTTGTCTTCGCTCTCGTTTATCGACTAAGGTGAACTCGAAATAGCATTCAAGCATACCAATTAACGAGCATATCATGAGATAAGAGAGTTAACAAACGAAAAACAAATTCACCACTCGATCTCGTGAATTTCATCATTCATGCTACCTCACAAAGGGATCAAGGATTCATATGTTTACATATAATCAGTGAGTAAGTGACTCATTTTCAACCGGCTAGTTTCCTAACCTGAAATAAATTAATGCCCTGACACGGTAGTCAGGTTTGTCAATTTTGAAGATGAGAATGAGCTAATATATTGAATAAAATAAGTAGTTCATTATACAGAGGCCACTTAGATAGAGATAATACTATACTCAACCGATCAAAGTGTCTAACAACCCGATTGAGATACGCCTGAATTTCAAGTTCAAGAGAAACTGCAATTTTTCTAGGGAACAGTTCTTTTATGTATGAATAAACATAAACTGGGTGCAAACCTCAACTAATCAGATGTTTAAGTTGATTAACTCATCTGATTATCAGCAAACAAAAGAGATTCCTATGAAAAATTGCATAAAATTTAAATACAACATACGATTGTGTAGGATGGTTGCAGAATCTAATTAGGAAGAAGCGCTGTGGGTGGATAGGACGCACATCACGGGAAGCACCCAACTACGTCACAAGACAAGGTGTCAATTGGAGGACTCAAAGTCAAGGTAAATGAGGAATGCCAAGAAACACATTACGACGAGAAATGGATACAGACAAGAGGAGAACCGACAAAAATTGGACAGAACTGAAAAGGCAAGCCCATGACAGAATAGGTTGGAGAATACTGGTCGGCGGCCTATGCTCCGTTGGAGGTAACAGGCGTAAGTAAGTTAGTAAAAGCCAATGAATTTAGACCTTTTCGGGTTCAAACAAGAATTCAGGGAACGTACACAACACGGAATAAATGTTGTCATAATAGATGTAATGGACGCTATTAGTTTATTTAAATACTTTAGAGTATCACAAAGTTATATAATTGATGTTACACGTTACATGTTTACTGAATAAAAATAAGTAGTATAAATTGGTACACAAAAAACAAGAAAAGTGGGGAGAGAAAAGGACTAGGACAACCATCATATTTCATTTTCAGCTGGGATATCTGATCGCCTTCTTAACTATAACAAAATGTCACTAGGGTGTTTTTCACGAATAAACAGGGTATAGAGCAACACTTCTTTCTCAGTTCGGAAGTAAAGGTTGGACAAACGTTAGAAACACTAATTATACTCCTCATTTCAGTTTACAGATTTTCAATTTCTGATGTAAGATTTTTGAAAAAACTGAGAAGACATAACAAAAACGAAGTATCTGATCGGTTCGCAAACAAGTTACCGCTCGGTTTCGCCATCATAATTGAAGATCAGTCACATATAAACCCATCCGAAAAAGTATCTCCATTTTTAAAGATTTGTATATGCAAACAGAAATACTATCTACAAATCTCTCAACTAAAGTATAAGTATTGGGGATGTTCGATCCCCAAAACTCGCTTGATAGATGCCTTATCTCGGGTTTCACTTCTGCTAGCATGGGCTGATCAGTTGACCTTGAGATTCCAATTCCCACCAGTAAAATCCATGGCTGTGATTGGCTGCTGTGTATTTTAGTGTGCTATTTTCGTAACTGTCCCAAGGATGTTTCTATGATGTATAAATAAACAAGAGTTGTGTGCTTGATTGTATTGTGTGATTGCTGGGTGTTTGTAGAATATACTTTCTACGCTTTTCAAAACTTCTGTTTTACAGCTTGGGATTCAAGGTAGCCTATCTGGACACTGGTTCATTGTCTCGTTCGTGTTTATCGAGACTAAGGTGAACTCGTAATAGTTTCAAGCGTACCTAGTGACAAACATATCAATAAGTAATAGTTTCTTCTTCTAATCATCACCCCAACACACATAAAACTTACCTTGTTTATACGCATGCGCTACAGCTTTCATTTCATCATTCCATAGAGTAGTAAATATTTCAATCAGTACACGATCATTTGTACCTAAACCTTTCATTGCATAATACAGAGATTTCGCCATCATATAAGGTGTATCCACAACCAGTTGACATAGAACTTTACGAAAATCACCACTCGTGTCTGATTTTAAATCATCTTTCAAATTCTGTTTTTGAAAATATTAAAAAAAAGTGAAAATTTGAGTAAAACAATCAAATATTTTATGGAAAAATAATGTCAACTTTATATAACAGGTTAATATGGCATTAAAATAGTATGATGTGTAAGTTTTTCGGGAATTTTTCTGGCTAACCATTATTCATTCGATAAAAACTTAAACTATCTGAGCTGAGTAATTTCACTGAGAAGTTTTATTTGACCTTGGAGACAACATTGAACAACATTGAACATTTAACAACAATAAACCATGCCTGAAGTCTTTCTGGAGTTACTGCCGGTCTCGAATCTGAATCAAGGAGGAGGATTGTGTATGAGGTTATCGACTCCATCCTGTAGAAAAGTAATTCCCTTACTTACTTACTTACGCCTGTTACCCCCAATCGAGCATAGGCCGCACACCAGTTTTCTCCAACCAACTCTGTCCTGGGCTTCCCTCTCCAGTTCTGTCCAATGTTTGTTCATTCCTCTCATATCTTTCTCTATTTCACGGTGTAATGTGTTCTTTGGCCTTCCTCTTTTCCTTTGACCTTGAGGGTTCCATGTGAGGGCTTGTTTTGTGACTCAGTTGGGTGCTTTCCGCAATGTGTGTCCTATCCACTTCCAACTCTTCTTCCTGATTTCCTCCTCCACTGGAATCTGGTTTGTTCTATCCCACAGTATGTTGTTACTGATGGTGTCTGGTCAACGAATCCGAAGTATTTTGCGTAGACAACTGGTAATGAACACTTGTATCTTCTGGATGATGGCTTTTGTAGTTCTCCATGTTTCCATTCCATACAGTAGAACTGTCTTGACATTTGTATTCAAAATCGTGATTTTGGATTTTGGTTGAAAGTTGTTTGGAGTTGAGTAGTTTTACTGAGAAGTTTTATTTGTCCTTGGAGACAACACTGAACATTTAACAACAATAAACCATGCCTGAAGTCTTTCTGGAGTTACTGCCGGTCTCGAATCTGAATCAAGGAGGAGGATTGTGTATGAGGTTATCGACTCCATCCTGTAGAAAAGTAATTCTTTCGAAAAAACGCTAACCATAGAAATTTATCAAACGTAGACAACATTATGAGAAGGAAGGACTTGAACTCTGAAAAATTTCATTACAGTTGACAAGAAACTTGTTTCATTGAGTTTGGATTTCGGTGAGTTTTGTTCTGTCGATATTGTGATTATCATGTTTCTGAATCGAATCACGTACTTCATTTTAATTCTTATTCTTTGTGGAGCAAGCATAGACCATTCATTGGCTAGGATTGTTCATTTAACGCTGAGTTGATCTCAATCGATCAGACTAAATCAACTAATGGTATTTGAGTTGAACGCCTACCACTTAGGATACATTTAATCGCTGATTGGTTGCTAATCTGAGCCTTGTTTTTGTCAAACCACCAATCATCAATATCATGTGGAGTCGTGGATCGAAAATCAACTATGAAATGCAAGCATATCCAGCTAAAGACGAGACCTGTGTTCTCCTTCACTACATAACTTCCGGATTCCATTGCAAACTACTAGTCACCTATACGCTAATAAAACTTGTAATCTGAAAGACAATAAATATCAAGGCAATCCGATCAGGATACACGTATCTCAAACAACACAATGGAAATGAGTTAGTTGTTCAGATCAGTTTTTTTAAACTAAATACACAAAACTCAAATGAAAAATGATCAGCATTTTTGAAAAACTTACTTGATTATATAAACTTTTGTATGATTGACATATTTCTTGACGTTCATAATTTGTTCTACGTGCTAATATATTAATAATTGCAGTTTCATCTGTGCCTTTAAAGAGAAAAAAATGAATATTGAAATTTGAACATAAAAACGACATGGCTCATAATCGTTTGCGATGGCGCCGGTGCATTTATTCTTTGTGTTCTCTCAAATCCTAATCTTCTGGATTCGTCAACACCTCTAGTTTTGACTTTCTAAACTTAACTCACTGTATCATAATTCTTGAATAATATCTTCTAATCCTAACCTCTCCGAATACTTCTAATACTTTACTACCTCTACTACTACTATCGGATTTGAACTGACAATTACATCTCTGTGCTGATGTGGTATGGTAACATGAACTGATGTACTTACGTACGAAGTTCTACGTTGCATCTGACTAACTGACTGCCTGAACATAAAACCGTCCAATTAATACAGATAATAAGTTTGAGATATTATTGTTGTTGAAGATGAACATATTTTATGGGTGGAGTTTTATTCTTCAAACTGTTTAGTTCAATTGTGAAACTTTCGTGATACTTCAGTATAATTAAATTAATATACAGATTAAGTGTAAACGATAACCCATCTTAGTCAGGGTAGACCGTGTTGGTGGGTACAGTAGATGAGTTGAAAAACCCTATTTTCCAAACCAATGATTCACCTAGACTCCAAGGTTTCGAGGATAGGAACCTACTGTTGGTGTATGCATCTAATATTGGTCACTGACTACCATGCCTGACCGAAGCTGCTACCTTGATGTGGTGATCGGACTTGCCTATCGTCATGACCCAACTGAGCGATATTGGATGGAACTTATGTTCCTGAAGGTTCTACCATGCCAGGCAGGTCGATTGGAGAACGATGAGACTATAAGCAGCTACTCAAGGTCTGAGGGCGAAGTCGCACAGCTGACTGACTGCAGAGGGGTGTGACAGCAGTAAGGTGTTTCCCTCGGACAACCAGCATGTTCAGCAATGCTGCCTTCTCACAAGGAAGGAAGGGTTAGAAAACGTCGACCCTAAAAATGTCACATCTCACCCTACCTCACGGATTTCCGTCTCCTTGGGTAAGGGTGCCCACTGAGGGCTTTTGGGAGCCGAGCCAACACTCAAAATTCCTTTAATAAAAAGGCCGTGCGTGACCGGCCTCAAGCAGTTATCCCTTGGTCACTGCGGTCACACACCCAGGTCTCTAAGACCAACACTAATCTATCTTCCTTCTCAGGTCCCTCAAGAAACAACCTTCCACGATGTGAGCAGCCGGGAAGTGACAACCGCCCTCATACCCATAACAGCACCCGATCCCAAATTGGTCTACTGACTACCATCAGACCACATTTCGCGACAATGTTTCACTGCTTTGTTAAATAGACTTCTGGGTTAAAGGTTTAAGGAGTGACCCTCTAAGGAAACTATCTCCTTCGGCTTTGAGTACCCTGACATTATCCCAGCTATTGTGGTGGTGGTGGTGTTTGGTTCTCTGAGCTGGGTGTTTTGGTTGTGATTCTCATCCACATGAACTACAAATCTTCTCAACCATCTCATTATCCCATTTAGCCGCCTATTCACAAATTCAATTTATTTGTTTGGCGGTCAAATCAACAAAATAAAATACATTTTTTTTAACAGTTGAATACACTACAGTGGCATTGTATTTTGAAACTTCATGCCAAACATCTGTATTTATATCTTGTTTAAGTGAAATGTACAACGGACATCGGTAAAATTTTCTTCATATAGAGTGTACAGTACCATTTGAAGTATAATCAAATTAATTCTAAATTTTACAGTCTAATCACTATAGTAACCAGTTGATTACTTAAAACAAAACTTGTTTTAAAATGAAATAAGTTGCTAAGATATTCACAAAAGTCTATATATATATATATATATATATATATATATATATATATATATATATATATATATTCTGATGTCTATATAATATGGTTTAAATAAATCTTTCAATATGGCGGATATTTTAAAACCCAAGTGAATTGATTTCAGTTGTCTTTCTAAAATGGATTGTTTGTTAGACATACTCCATCCATTTAGTGTAGTGATTTATGGTAAGGTTTTAATTTTATTGCTCAACTTTCAAATGAGCATTAGATATTCATTATAAAAATGTAAGGATGATTGTTTTTTGATTGAACTCATGAATTAATTATTGTTAGACTATCCTTAGAATCATGGATTCATTGGACTGTGTATTGTTAAACAGAATGAAGGACTTCGTAGACGCCCAACTTCAAGATCAACAGGCTGGATTTCGTAAGGATTCATCGTATACTGACCAAATCGCTACATTACGGATCATTGTGGAATAATCAATTGAATGGAGCTTACCACTCTACATCAACTTCATCGACTACGAGAAAGCATTCGATAGCGTAGTGGATAGGAAAACACTGTGGAGGCTTCTTCGACACTACGGTGTGCCTGAGAAGATAGTTAACATCATACAGAATTCTTATGATGGATTCAAATGCAAAATCATGCACGGAGGTCAGCTGACAGACTCTTTCGAGGTGAAGACCGGTGTGAGGCAAGGTTGCTTACTCTCACCCTTTCTCTTTCTCCTGGTCATCGACTGGATTGTGAAGACGTCAGCATCTGGAGGGAAGCACGGTATCAACTGGACAGTTAGGACGCAGCTGGACGATCTGGACTTCGCAGATGACCTGGCTCTTCCATCGCACACGCAACAACAAATGCAAGAAAAGACGACGAGTGTAGCAGCAGCCTCTGCAGCAGTAGGTCTCAACATACATAAAGGAAAGAGCGAAATTCTCCGATGCAACACAACATGCACCAACCAAATCACTCTTGATGGAGATGCTTTGGAGGATGTTAACACCTTTACATATCTGGGCAGCATCATCGACAACCAAGGTGGATCCGATGCAGATGTGAGGGAACGGATTGGCAAAGCAAGTAAAGCATTTCTACAATTGAAAAATATCTGGAACTCCAAACAACATTCAACCAAAATCAAAATCAGAATTTTCAATACAAATGTGAAGACAGTTCTACTGTATGGAGCGGAAACTTGGAGAACTACCAAAGCCATCATCGAGAAGATACAAATGTTTATCAACAGTTTTCTACACAAAATACTTCAGATTCGTTGGCCAGATACCATCAGCAACAACTTACTGTGGGAGAGAACAAACCAGATTCCAGTGGAGGAGGAAATGAGGAAGAAGCGGTGCAAGTGGATAGGACACACACTGCGGAAAGCACCTAACTGCGTCACGAGGTAAGCCCTCACATGGAACCCTCAATGCAAAAGCAAATGAAGAAGGCCAAGGAACACATTACGCCGAGAAATAGAGAAAGATATGAGAGGAATGAACAAACATTGGAGAGAACTGGAGAGGGAAGCCCAGGAGAGAGTTGGTTGGAGGAAACTGGTGGGCGGCCTATACTCCATTTGGTGTAACAGGCGAAAGTAAGTAAGTAAGTCCACCGAGCATTCTCTCAACTAATCCGTTTAATCAATAGGTCAAAATACATTTAGGAATGTTAACTATAATATCAAGTCATAATTAGAGGCTTTTTTTAACCATCCAGAATGTGTATTTCTACATTGAATCGACTGTAGGCACTCTTTCTTTCCCTTCGTTAAATATTATGATTCCCTAAGGATAAACAATTTCAACTCGACTGCAATCAATACTTTTTAATCATAGTTTTAATTTTATCAGCAGAGTTTCGAATTTTTATTATTATTATTATTGTGGGTCTGTCCATTTTCTGGTTTATTCTTGGGTAGAAAAATAAAGGAAAACTATGACTTTGGACATTTTCAGTGATTATTTACACTGTTATCTGTCTGTCTATCTATCTATCGGCATACTGAGTGCTGTCTATCAATCATATTTGAAAAAAAAACGTTCAACATAAACAACTTGGATTCGGTCAAACAAGAACTTGGTTCGAAATTCAATTTAGCTTATACAAACTGTTAAGTTCGTCACTAAGTATGCTTGAAACAATTTACGAGTTTACCTTAGTCGATAAGCGTGAACGAGACAATGAACCAGCGTCCAGGTAGGCTACCTTGAATTCCAAACTGCAAAACAGATTTGATAAGCGTAGAAGTATATTCTACAAACACCCAGCAAATACATTGATCTCAAACACACAAATCGCGTTTATTTATACATCATAGAAACGTCATTGAGACAGTCACAAAAATAGCTTACTGAAATACACAGCAGCCAATCACAAACATGGATTCTCTTGGTGGGAAAGGCGACCTAAAGATCATCTGACCAGCCCATGAATAAAATCCAAATAAGTTCTTGGGATCTAACGTCCCCAACACAATGACAATACCTGAGGAAAATGCATAATAAAATTCTCGGAGTTCTAGTGAAAAGCCATCGCCAGTGGAATTCAGCCCTATTGAGTATAGTCAGTTACCTACCCTAGACAGTGGGTGAAGTTGCATTTTGCCATAGACTGATTAAAGTTAGACATTACCACACTTGGAGTCCTATCCAGTGGTTGAGAGGTTAACCATTCGTGCACAAGGTAGGTTCCGGGTTCGATTCCCAATCGCACAGGTCGTGGACGCGCATTGCTGGTGAGTCTCACTGTAGGACGAAACGGCCGTTTCGTGCTTCCAGGTTTCCAATTACCGTCTAACGTTGATCGATTCATGGTTTTGATGAAACTTTACATTATTATTTGATAAATGAACGACACAGAAAATCGGTCATCAGTCAGTAAAGTTACCAGTTGAAGACCATTGTTGATACAATTTTCGTCAACGTTTCTTCAATTATCGTTGTCTGTGTCACCAATAAATCGATGACATGTCGCAGAAAAGCGGATTTAAAATAAGTTCTTTGAAAAATTGAATGATTCAACTGACCCTTTCTGTTTCCTTCCAGAACAATATTATCAATGATCAATTAAGGTATTGTACCCAAAATATCATTGGAATACAACGGCGATCAATGAAAAGTGGATCCATTCATTCACATAGGCATAACTTTATAATTAAACTTAAAGAGTTTAGAGCATTTTTTCGAAACAACTAACTACTTCATAATTTTAATCATCAAAAATGAACAAGGGAAAGAAGAATTTGTACAACAACAACTTTTCAACGTTCAACATGTTTACAATATGCAGCATTCTCTGATTTCCATGTTTTGGGGATGTTAGACCGCCAGAACTCGCTTGTTAAATGCCTTATCTCGTATTTCACTTCTGAGAGCATGGGCTGATCAGTTGACCCTGAAATTTCATTTCCCACCCGGAAAATCCTTAGCTGTGATTGGCTGCTGTGTATTTTAGTGTGCTATTTTTGTTACTGTCTCAAGGACGTTTCTATGATGTATAAATAAACGAGAATTGTGTGCTTGATTGTATTGTGCTTGCTGGGTGTTGTGGAATATACTTTCTACACTTATCAACACTTCTGTTTTGCAGTTTGGGGATCAAAGTAGCCTATCTGGACGCTGGTTGATTGTCTCATTCGCGTTTATCGACGAAGGTGAACTCGTAAATAGCTTTAAGCATACCTATTGACGAACTTAACACCATGTTATATTGGATTATTTCTGAATATAAGAAAACACTTTTCATTGAACATTTCATTTACAAGCGATAACATTCACTGTTTTTACTCGTTTATCTGATTACTTAAAATATGATACATTGGTGTGGTGGATTCTACTCACAAGGTGGCATTTAAGTAGCGTATAGCAGTGTCACCTAGAAGTGACTACAAGAGAGACGGTTGTCTGCATATGGACATGCTTAAGAAGATGAGATTTTATTGAAGACTGCAAGGGAAATGAGAAACGATAGTCAGTAACCTATTTGTGATAACAACAAATGAATATCCGAAGATGACGTGTACATAATTTGCAGATAACCTGTGTTCTCCCTCCAAATACATATATCTTCTTATGTAATCTTATCTTGTTTTCATATTACAGTGTAGATGTTCACAGAAGACTTGTGTAAAAATTACAGTAAATCAAAAAATTATTTGAAAATTGTCAGATATCATACTTCTATTGAACATTGAACAAAGATTGTACTGTGGTGTCAGCTACTTATAAGTAGTATATGACGTGAGTGTCAACGTAATGTCTGGCAGCAGCAGAAGATGGGTGAAGATCAAGAGAAAGGAAGAGTTAGAACACAATGAAATTTGTACGAAATGCATGAATAAGTGAAATGTCACACAATGGATTGATGATTGATTGAAGATTTGCAAATTAACCGTTTACGATATGGTTTTCCTATTTTACTGAGTAACTCTGTAATTTTCGTTAAATATAATTCGGTTTCCCCACTTGTGTTCTCCTTCACTACAGTACCTCTTATACATAAAAAACAGATAATTTTTTAAAAAAGTACTTTTTACAATAACTTGTATTTTTTTTATTTCTTCACTAACCTGGACCTTTCATAGCTCTGTGCAAGTGTTCAGCGTCAGCAGAAGCTGAGAATCCAGTGGTTGGTTTAATTGTTGGTCGATAATGTTCACCGTGTGGATCGAATGCATGAATCAATGAACGGGCTAATCCAAATCTATAAATGTAAAATGAAGTTATATTAGCGAATGATAACCTGTTGTTGATTTTGTTCGAATAAGAGAGATCATCAGCAAGTCGGATTACTGACACAGATTCTAACGATTGATTTTAGACTGATTTGTTATGTTATAAGCGTCAGTTCTTCGATTTTCTAATACGTTACTTCTTGTCTTGCTTACAATGATGAATTAGTTATCAGTGATAATTGTAAATGTTAGGTGTTTGAAGGTAGTTAGTTGGAAACCCTACATACCATAGGTTTCAGACTATTTGGGATATGAGGCATTAGTTCAACTGTGATCTTGAGCGGAATGATATTCTCTAAGCTATTCAGGTCAAAGCTAGATTTAGTTAATTTCAGTTCAGCGATTCACTGAAACCACGAAGCCTGAAGGTCTTGAGGTTGAGCCAAAGTGAAGTCATAAGTGTGCACTACTGAGGAATTTAAAAGTAGGAGTATAAACCTGTTTAATGAAAACTTAGTCTGTAGTAACAGTTGTTTTTTTTATTAACCTTTAATAGATCCTCGAAAAAGTATTCATCAGTCTTCATCTTAGCACAGTCATTTCTTACAATGTTCACAAGTTATTCTGTTAGAGAATTGATATAATCTAAAACTTGAAATAATTAGTATGAGTGGGTTGGGGAGATCGTTGAGTTACTTTTTGAAATCATGAATGGATAAATGTTACACAACCATGAAAAATCTGGAAACACTTAGACAGCCGTTTCGTCCTGGTATGGGACTCACCAGTAGTGCGCATCCATGACTCCTGTTACTAGCAGGATTCGAATTGAGGACACTCGGTCTTGCGAGTGATTGCCGGCATCCAACTGTTTTAATGTCTAGTTTCGATTAATCCATGGTCTTGCGCAACCTCATCCATTATCATAGATGAGCACTGCTTCACAACCGAACAGGGTTGAACTCGACTGGTCATGAGTTTCCACTAGAACTAGAACTCCAGTGCTGCTTTTAACATTGATCGATTCATGACTTTAAAATATTTAGTTCCTTTTATAAATTTTGATTGAATGATGAGAAGGTTTAGTTGATGTGATAAATATGATATATTTACGTTATTACATTTTGAACAGTCAGGTTGCACATATATACACACAAGGGGAATATAAATTTTCGAATAGATAAGGCTTCTATAAACCTCAGAATTCTCCACTGAACATTTCTATACAACATTTTAAAAGATGTATTAATGTCACTTCTATGCTCTATGCTCTAAGCTACAGGTCAAACGTGGAGAAATTCGAATACTTCACTTTATTCTATCTGAAGTTTGTGCTGATGATGATGTTGTTCAGTGGAAGAACAATGAAAGCTCCACAACCAAAACAACCAGCTCAGAGAACGAAACACCACCACAATCATCCTCCTGAGCCACAAGTTTCCTCCACCGTTTCAGTTATGCATTTTGCTATCGGTGAACATGATTTTCTATTTCTCACGTTTATCGGGTTATTTGGCATCAACTGATTTTAAAACCATTTAGGCTTCAGCATTTGTGGACAAAACGTTACACTTTCAGATTACTCAACTAGAATTCAGTGGTTCACTATCTGTCGAACTCTTATCATCGATAGAAGGTCATGGATAGATAACCAAGAATAAAATAGTGGATTGATCAGAGTTAGACATTAACATCATTGGATGCTGTCCGGCTCGTAGGTCCTGAGTTCGAATCCTGCGTGTCACAGGAGATGTGTGTGCGTACTGCTGATAAATTTCATACCAGGACGAGACAGCGCTCCAGTACTTTCTTGTTTCTAATGGTGGCCTTACAATAGCTCATGTATAATTTCAATGATGATAAGTAATAACTCGAGATATATAGCCAATATTGAATACTGAACTTTCACTAACCAACATAAAACTCCTCCCAATCTAACAGGGTAGAAAAAAACGGTGATATCATAATTTTTCTCTTCATTCAATAGAAAGAATGCTAAGAATTATGTTTGTTTCATACGCAATTTGATGTTTAAACCAGTCAAAGTCAACATACACAATGTTCAATTTTACAAGGTAATATGCTATGGTATGTACAATGTATGTACAAGTCAACAGTGAAATGAATTATTTTCATTATAGGGTTGTAAAGATTGTTGGTGTTTCAATGAAATCATGAATCAATCATTGTTTAACCATTTTTCCAAAAACCTGGAAATCCTGGACGGTGGTTTCGTCTTAGTATAAGACTCATCAGCGCCGCACATCGACGACATTGCGAGCAAGAATCGAAGCAAGAACTTTTAGTCTACCACTTAAAAATTTGACCTCTACATCAAAGATCCGGCTCCGGATTCGATTCTCGCTTATAGACTCGTGGATGCGCATCGCTGATGAATCTGATACTAGGACGAAACGACCGTCCAGTACTTTCGGATATCTAATACTAATCTAACACTAACCAACCCATGATTTAGGTTATCTAAGAAAAAGTGTAACATTTAAAGTGAAAATGATTTTATGTATTGAATAAATAGATTTGTAAAATAGATTTATTTAAGTAGTACAATTGTAAATATGTAGTGTCTCCACATATACTTCAGTTCGCTTACATCTAACCAAGCCATTTGTATTGTGAGCAACAACTTATATGTACCATTCGTTCTTATTATTGTCTGGTTTGTATGAGGAGCTCACATGACATGTTCCACTTGTCTCTTGACCTTGTCAATCATTCGTCGCTTTTATTCATGTCTGTGCATGCCTATTTCGCTTGTCATATGTCTGTCTTATTTTTGTCTGACTATATATTCTTAGTCATGCTCTATCTCTTTGAGTTGGCTCTTAGCCTTCTCCAATTCGCTTCGCCCATTCGTTCGCATTGTAACCCATGGAGTTGGCTCAACAGCCTTCTCCAGTTCACGTTGCTTCATTCGTTTTATTCACTGCTTCTCCGCTTCGCTTTGTGGTGTGTCCCGAATAAACCTATTCATCACTACGAATTCATCTTCTGATTTATAAACTCTCAGACGCTAGTTAGTAACGATTGTCTGGACGAGCTAATTACCGAGATTCAGAACATGCAATAAGTCGACACACTACAAATATCTGAATATTTATGAAATCCAGATCGATAAAATGTTATAGATTCAAGTTAAGTTTGTTTTTCACAAACAATAAACACACACACACACTTCAAAATACTTTAGTTCATGAACAACAAATTTTGTGAGATTATTGAACCAATTAGAATGTTTTTTTTGGCAACTCTATTGACACACTGACCAAATACCAAAGTCAGAACTTTGAATACTAACGTCAAGTCTATTCAGATTATGAAGACGTCGACATCTGGAGGAAAACACGGTATTCAGTGGACAGCTAGGATGCAGCTGGACGATCTGGACTTCGCAGATGATCTGGATCTTCTATCGCACACGCAACAACACAATGCAAGAGAAGACGACCAGTGTGGTAGCAGTCTCTGCAGCAGTAGGTCTCAACATACATAAAGGAAAAGCAAGATTCTCCGATACAACACAACATGCACCAACCAAATCACTCTTGATGAAGATGCCTTGGAGGACGTTAACACCTTTACATATCTGGGCAGCATCATCGACGAGCAAGGTGGATCCGATGCAGATGTGAGGGTGCGGATTGGCAAAGCGATGGCTGCATTTCTACAGTTGAAAAATATCTGGAACTCCAAACAACCAAAAACCAACAGTAAAATCAGAATTTTCAATACAAATGTCAAGACAGTTCTACTGTATGGAGCGGAAACTTGGAGAACAACGAAAGCCATCACCCAGAAGATACAAGTGTTTATCAACAGTTGTCTACGCAAAATACTTCGGATCCGTTGGCCAGACACCATCAGCAACAACCTACTGTGGGAGAGAACAAACCAGATCCCAGTGGAGGAGGAAATCAGGAAGAAGCGGTGGAAGTGGATAGGACACACACTGTGCAAAGCACCTAACTGCGTCACAAGACAAGCCCTCACATGGAACCCTCAAGGTCAAAGGAGAAGAGGAAGGCCAAGGAACACATTATGCTGAGAAATAGAGAAAGATATGAGAAGAATGAACAAACATTGGACAGAACTGGAGAGGGAATCCTAGGACAGAGTTGGTTGGAGGAAACTGGTGTGTGGCATATGCTCGATTGGGGGTAACAGGCGTAAGTAAATAAGTAAGTAAGTCGATCCTACTAGTATGAATCGGAAATTAGGAGAACCACCGAATCTATCATCCAAAAGAAACAAGTGTTTATTAATAATTGTCTATGCAAAATACTTCAGTTCCTTCGGCCAGACATCTGCAGTAAAAGAACTTACTGTAGGAGAAAGTAAGCTAGATTCTATCGGCCAAGCAAGAAATCCGTTAGAGGCGAATAGGATACACATTATGGAAAGCACTCAACTGCCTCTCAAGGTAAGTAAGTCCTAACTTGGAATCCATTAGGCGAAGAGAGAAGCAGTAGACCAAAGAACACACTGCATTGAGAATTGGAAATAGACGTCAAACAAATAAGTAGAAATTAGTAGGAACTGGAAAAGAAGACCCAGGACAGGATTGGTTACAGAATGCTGGCTAGTGGCCTATGTCCCATTAGGAGTAACAGGCGTAAGTAAGTAAGCAACTGTATCTCGGTTCAAATCAACTTTCAAATATTATGTATGAATGTTAATCACTACTGATTATTTACTGAATACAAATTGATTCACTTATTACATAAATAGATACATTTCTGTAGATGACTTCAAAACTTCTACTGATTATTGGCGGTCAAATTATCGATTTATTTATGTATACACAATATTATTGATATGAAAAAGTACCTAAAAATATATGTGGCTCACAAATCATTAGAATTTTTGTGTCCTACGCCTAAACCAAAGAAGGTAGTTTCCTTATGGGATCACTACTCCCTAAACCTTTAAACCACAGGTCTAATTCTGTTATGCTCGTCACTAAGTATGCTTGAGGCTATTACGAGTTCACCTTCGTCGATAAACCAGAACGAGACAATTGCCAGCGTCCAAGTAGACTACCTTGAATTCCAAGCTGAAGTAAAAAAGTCTTTGTAAGCGTAGAAAGTATATTCTACAACACCCAGTAATCACACAATACAATCAAGCACACAACTCTCGTTTATTTATACAACATAGAAACGTCCTTGGGAAAGTTACGAAAATAGCACACTAAAATGCAACACAGCAGCTAATCAGAGCCACGGATTTTGCTGGTGGGAAATGAAATCTCAAGGTCAACTGATCGGCTCAATCCTGTGGTGCAACTAACACACAGGTACTTGATACCCTGGTGGACCGTTTCATATACACACTGGTATATATATTTCCGATCTATGATCGCGTTAGTCAATATGCACCGCATGAACAGGCCAGTTAGACCCATACCGCTTACACATGACTGTTAAACTCATTATTATTAGCAATGGTGACATGTAATACAACACTCCAGTGACAATGGCCATCGGGAATGTTGCAAAACAACCACCTATATTAATGAAATCGGTCACCCTGCTAACCAATTTTGTATATGGACTGTTAACAATGCTTACCAAAGCAAAGCAAAGACAAGCCATCCAAAATGTTCACAGCGAACCTCTAGTCTCATAGGAGACCTTCAGCTCTATATAGCAAACAGTATAGCATATGGCCATGTGATAGGATTTTGAAATGAAAAGTAGACTTTCCACACCCTCAGCTGTATTAGGGTGATCACTAGCTGAAGCTATGTACAGGACGTCAATATTACTAATTTTGTTCATCTAAATGATTCTCAATTTAACATCAAATTAACGATTTTAAAAAGGTGAATTTGATTTTATTGAACCATCATATCTTCTCTGTTAGGTGAAAACATAATTTATACAGTCAGAAAAAAAAACATATTTCAGCAATCTTTGTTTTAATATAGATTGGAATATTTAACATTGACCTTGAGAATGTTCAGTCGTCTGTTTTAATGGCGCTTAATATTTAAATTGACCTCCTTTCAATTTTGAAGTGGTTCTTATCTACTAAACTATTTTTAACAACAATCTTTTACATTCTATTGTTACAATGAAATCATAAATCAATCATTGGTAAGCCGATTAGTAAAAAAACCTTGAAGTACCACTGTAGATGGACGTTTTGTTCAAGTATGTGACTCATAAGCAGTGTACATACACAACACTGTTCGGAGGATTCGAACTTAGGACATTCAGTCTCGTGTGCGAACGCTTAACCTCTAGACCGATTGTAGTGAACGATAACACAGGTGAGGCAATCGGATTGTATTTAACGAAAATTACAGAGTTACTCAGTAAAATTAGAAAACCATATCGTAAATCGTTCATTTGCAAATTATCAGTCCATCATATCGAACTGGACTGTTCCTGTTGCAAAACATCAATCCATTGTCACTATTCATGTGTTTCATACAAATTCCATTGTGTTGTAACTCGTCTTTTCTTGACCTTCCCCCATCTTCTGCTGCCAGACATTACGTTGACACTGACGTCATATACTACTTATAAGTAGCTCACACCACACAATAATACAAGATAAACTAAGCAAACGTTTAACTAATTAATTATTCCTGTTATGAATTAGTTCGATAGGTATAAGAAAGCTGTTTCACGATTGAAATTAATGTGAATACAATTGACTCGCTACTTAGATGATTTCTCATAGTCAGTCAGTCAATCAGTGGCAACTTAGAACTTCGTACGTATGTACATCAGTTTAGGTTGCCAATCCACATTAGCACTGAGACGCAAATGTCAAATCAAATCGCATAGTGATAGACATAGTAGAGGTATTATTGGTAATGTAGAAGACTAGGGTTTGAAGATATTATTCAAGAAGTATAATTCAGTGAGATAAATTTAGATAGACAAAGGTAAAGGTGCTGACAAATCCAGAAGATTAGGATTTGTGAGAGCACAATGAATGGATGCACCTGCACCATTGCAAACGATTTTGAGCCATGTCATTCAAGGTCCCTAACCATTGGCGACTATCGTCTCGCGGCCCCCAACCAGGTAGTCTACATCTACCAACATGACTCAGTCCACTTGTCAGTGACTTCATGGATTTCTGTCATGTTTTGGTCTGGCCGCCCCTAACTTTCTTCCAATCTACTCCTACACCACAAAATATAGGTTGTCGAGGTAGTCAGTGGTTAGGCATTCGTAACACATGTCCCAACCACCTCAACTGATGAGGGTTCACCACTTCATCTCTTGATCTGCCATCCTTACCTAATACTCGTTTCCTAACGACAGCATGACTTACTCGGTTGTCCCAAGATATATGAGCAATGCTTCTAAAGACATCTATGATCGAATAGTAGTAACCTACTCTTAACGGCCATGTTTCACAGCCATATAGTAGGACGGGGCGTACAATACACCCGTCCTCTGGTTAGCGAACGGATATCTCGCCTACGCTACAAACGGCGTAAATTGGCCAAAGCAAATCGAGCTTTCTTTATCCGCGCTGAGATATGTATTTGGTAAATTATGAAAAGATAAATAACTCAGTTACTTAAAAATATCACTGAACAAAAAAAATGGATTACCTCTTAACTAACAAATATTTTCAGCACAATGATTTTTTTCTTGAAATTACGAATCGATCATTGTTAAGCCTTTAATGGCGGTTTCGTCTTAATATGGAACTAATCAACAGTGTACATCCACAACTTCTGCTACTCACAAGAATCAAACACAAGATCTTCGGTCTTTTGCACACGAACGCTTAACCTCTGGATCACCAAGTATGCACCCAAGGCATGCATTACTGATAAGTCTCATATTAGGACGAAATGGCCATTCAATAGTTTTTTTTCAGGTTTCTAATGGCGATATAACATGGATTGATTCATGATTTCAATGAAACTCAACAATAACCGCAATAATAAAATGAAAACAATCATTTTTGACAGAAAACCAATATGATTCAAATGTTTTTACAACTTCTTACCCTGAAACATTGGCCATTGATCACGATTATAGAACGAAGAAGTACACTTTGATCATAAATCAATAAATGTCACTCTGAAGCAGAAAAATGCGGAAATACACATGATGAATCATCATTAATGGTATCAGTAACAATATAAAAAGTGAAAATGATTCATTAGGCAAGAACAAACTGATGAACTACATTTCTAAAGGAAAGAATACATGTTGATGACTTTCTGTTAGGATATTCATCCAATATTCTAAGAGAATTATTGGTCAAATCATATTGGTCGATTTCTATTGGTCAAAATTATGTTCGTTTTATCTGTCAAAGTCAAATACTACAATGTTGATTCTTATTGGTTGTCCTGACTATCAATGTCATTTCAAATGTTACTTCCTATTGGTCGCCTTAACTGTCAATGTCACAGACTTTGATGCTGTTTCCTATTTGACCAAAATGTATAAATACGCATTATCTGTAACGTTGTATGACCAGGACCAGGGCTCGGTCCCGGATCCCTAGTCCGAGATCCTGATTCTCTTTTGGATTCGGACCTCATACTTTCTGGATGCTTGTAGAATACAGGTTCTACTTCATATCACATCTTCTTATTTTTACTCAATATGGCGGTTGTAATAATCGGATTTGAGTAACATGTCGTGTCAGCGGATCCTCGCTCTCGTTTTCTTACAAGGTAAACTCGTAATAGTTCAAGTATATCAAGTTGACGTGTTTACGTGCAGGCGTAACACTTTCAATGTTCAATGTGTTTTACAATATGCAACATACTCTGATTTACATATTATACTGAATGAATGTTGCATATTAGAAAACACTTTTCATTGAATATTTCATTTACAAGCGATAACATACACAGTTTTGACTCTTTTATCTAATAAGTGAACAAAAGATACATTGGTGTGGTGGATTTTGCTCACAAGGTGGCAGGTAAGTCGTATGTTGTGAAGTGTCACCTAGAAGTGATTACAAGAGAGATTGGTGTCTGCATATAGACATGCATACCAAGATCAGAATTTATTGTGGATCGAAAGAGAAGTGAGAATTGAGTCAGTGAAAGCACATACGCAAATCCATGGAGTGGCTATGCGTAGCCCTCTCGGACCTGTTTTAGCAAACGTATTCATGGGAATGATAGAAAGGCAAGTGAGTCACTTCATCGATGGTATTACACTTTACAAACGATATGTCGACGATATTCTTGTCATATTACCACATTCTACAGATATTAATGAAATCAATGATTTATTTAATGCGAATCACCCGACTCTGAAAGTCGGGTAGGAAGAAAAGAATAATGAACTAGCCTTCCTCGATATCCTGCTCCATTGCCGTCCAGACGGATCAATCAGACGAAAAGTACACCGCAAACCCACCTGGTCGGGACAGTACTTCCACTTCACAAGTTTTTGCCCCATACAATATAAACGTTATGTTGTTAAAACTCTTTATTCGCTCGAGCAAGTAGAATCTGCACTGCTGATACATTGAACGACGAATTCAAGCTTATTACTGAGACATTTAAATCAATAGGATATCCCGAAACGTTTATTGGTCATCAGAACACAACTACGACGAAGCTGATAGCAACTGATATGCCCAAGAAACCAGTGCACATACAGTTACCTTTCAAGTGTGATCATTGCATGAAAATTACAACCTAACAGACTGCAGCTGCAATAAAAAAGACCTTCAGTGCAGCTAATCTGAGGCTTATCACAACAACTCGATCGATCTCAGTTACCTCAATCAAGTCTCCAAGACTGATTCAGTCCAAATCCCACTGTATTTACCAATTCACATGTAACTGCGGAGAAAGTTACTTTGGGAGGACAGATCGCCGATTGGAAGACAGGACAGGGGAACATATTCCATGATTCATCAACCTAGCCAGTCATCTCAAGATCGATCAAGAAACCCAGTCTCGTCCATTGTAAAACATCTAATGATGAGTGGTCATCAAATTGACCCAAAATCAGCCTTTAAAGTTGTGACATGTCATCAAAACCCACACACACACTGAAACTACTTGAAGCTATCTTTATGTGTTTAAAAACAACTGTATGTTGACCTTTGTTTACCATGGTTCTTCTAGTGAGTGAATGTCATGCTAAATAAAAAATTTTGACCTTATTTTCAAAACTGTATTTACACAAATAACATGTTGCTTGTATGTGACTGACGAGAAAGCACGAAATGGTACTACTATCTCACAAAATGTGACTTCTCATTTCTCTGTTCACTGAATGTTTGACTATTTTGAGTTAAAATTTTTAAGATAAAATATGTCTTCTCTAAATGCGTATATCTCTGATCTGATCATCTCTGGTTTTTATATTAAAGTCTGGATGTTCACAGAAGACTTTTATAGAAATGATACTGAAATGAAGAAGTATTGTGTTCGTCACTTAGTCGATAAACGAAAACGAGACAATGAACCAGCGTCCAGGTAGGCTACCCTGAATCCCAAGCTGAATA